GCGATATTTCAAAACCATGTAAAAAAAAAAAAGAATAAAATTATTAAGAAAACCACGCCCACGCGATCGCTATTTTTAGATTTCTATTGAAAAGCACATGAGGTGTTATAAAAGTCGCATTGTCTCCCTCTCCCATTCATTCTTCCGAAGTTGGATCGCCAGCATGAAGTAAGTTTCAAGAGATCCTAGAATTAAAAGTTTGCGATTCAAAACTTGGGTGAATTTAGTATATCAGTGTTAAAGTAAACCTCAAACCCACGTGTGAAAACTAAGTGATTTATGTCGATCAGAGTAAGATTTCTGTCTCTAGTATTCAGGTGATTTATATGAGATAGACATGAATTTGCGGGAAGTTATTTTTATATGATTAAAGTTTGGATGCAATACTGATGTAGATTTAGACAAATAGCGTTTAAATGGCACTCAAAGATACTTGGTCCAGAAGCGGGGAGTCCTGAGTCCAGTTATGTGACTGATTTTACAACTAATATATACATATATATATATATATATATATATATATATATATATATATATATGTGTGTGTGTGTGTGTGTGTGTGTGTGTGTGTGTGTGTGTGTGTGTGTGTGTGTGTGCCTCTGCGTGTGTTTGCTTGGTTGTGTGTGTATACGTAAATGCACACGCACAAAACAGTTGTACATACATATTATATGGATACTGCACATGTATATTCACATGTGCATGTATAATACTGTACATGTGCATTTTATCCTCCAAATAACGTAAGAGTAATTTTGCTTCAAGTGATTTCTTTTCACTGATCTATATTCGTCATTACATTCAAGTCATTAGGCTGTTAATCAGTATCATATACTTTATGAGACTTAATACATCATAACAACAGTACGAGTCACAGGTATAAGCATAATTGAAAAGTGACATGTTATATTATTATTATGATATTATATTATTATATTATATATATATCATATAATATATATATTTATATTAATTCATATATATATATATATTTTGGGTATATATGTATACAAATGTATATATATACATATATATGTGAGTGTGTTCATGTATGTAGTATGTACATATATATGTATATGTTTTTTTATATCATATTCATTGGTATATCATAGCATCATGAGTTGTAATTCTATACTACTATTATCGACCATCTGGTAATATGACTATTTTTTATTGCTAACTCCATGGCAATCATCATCATTATCATCACTATGACATCATTACCGCTAAATAACCAGCTATGTTATTGCATCACAGAACTGTCATTGCAAAACTGTTCTCGTGGTTGTGATGGGGGCAACTTACGGCTTCTCTGCCCCAGGGAGGCATGGCTCTGCCCTCCGAGCTGCTAGGGAGGCAAAGGAACAGCCCTTGCTCGAATTAAGAGGTAAGGAAAGAGGGAGGATGGAAGTCAGAGAAGGGTGATGAGGGAGGGAAGAAGGGATGGGGGGAGAAAGGGATAAAAGTTTGATGGATAGCTACATAGAGGGAGGCACATGGAAAGAGAGAGATAGTAAGAGAAAGAGAGAGAATAAGTATATGGCATTAAAGCTCTTGAAAGTTTCCAATATATATGTCTTTTTTTCTTTCTTTTTCGTCTAATAGGGATATGCATGAACATAATGAAACCCATTGGCACGAAGAGGAGCATCATGATCAGGACTATGATGACAGCCATCGATGATGACGAAGGGCACCATGATGACAGCGATGATCACGAAGGGGAGCACCGGTCTTGGCCACAACGGAACCCATATCTTTACGCTACGGAACATCACGACAGTGATGAGCATCACGGAGAGGGGCACGATGTGATCAGGACTATGATGACAGCCATGAGGACGAAGGGGAGCACCACGGTCTTGGCCACAACGGAACCCATATCTTTAACGCTACGGAACATCACGACAGTGATGAGCATCACGGAGAGGGGCACGATGGTGATCAGGACTATGATGACAGCCATGAGGACGAAGGGGAGCACCACGGTCTTGGCCACAACGGAACCCATATCCATAACGCTACGGAACATCACGACAGTGATGAGCATCACGGAGAGGGGCACGATGGTGATCAGGACTATGATGACAGCCATGAGCACGATGATGACGACGAGGGGCACCATGGTGATCAGGACTATGATGACAGCCATGAGGACGAAGGGGAGCACCACGGTCTTGGCCACAACGGAACCCATATCCATGATGCTACGGAAGATCATGGCAGTCATGAGCATCACCATGGTCATTCTACTGTCCCTGTCGCCATTGCCCCATGACTGTTTTGGCGACAATAAGGACGATGGGGAAGGTGACAACGACAGCGAGAAAGATTACTGATCTTATATTACACTGATATATTGTATGCTGTATACATTTGCAAATGCTAACAGATAAATGATATTATATGGATGACAATGGTGAAAATAATGATAGCATCAAATTGTCATATTATAAGAAATAAGAAAAAAGGTATTGGCAAGATAATCTTATGAAATAAA